GCTGGGTGAAGCGCAGGGTGGTCCTTGGGTGCTAGTGGCATCTGTGAGTTGGGGAACAAGGTTGTGAGTGTAGCGCGAGACATACCTGGTGCTGGAAGCGTGCGACACTGGTCGCCATATGCTCGTACTTCGGGAATGCTGTTGATGATATTTTTCGGCTTCGTAGTATAGGCTAGATAGGATCTGCCACATGTAGTTTGGGCGCCGAGCGCCAGATAGGATATCAACTCTGGTCCTTCGTTGATGATGATGGGACTATTTCAGCATTGTCAATTATGAACTCTTTGTGTGTTCTTATTTGGTGATTCTCGTGATGCAATGCTGCTGTTGGTTCGAGGTCAAGACTATCTGGACTCATATGTATGATGCTGTTTGATTGCTGAAGTTCGCTATTGCTCATCTTCCTTGCACTACCTTCTTCTCCCGAATACGACGTACGGTCGTTATAGCTGTATTTGGAGTATCTTTCAGTCTAAATACAGCTCTAAAATGACCGTACGTTGTATTTGGGGGAACAAGGTAGCAATGACAGTGGACCAAGTTCAAGGGGTCAGATTTAACTAGTGTCGCACGAGCCCCTAAGTCTTGGCCTTTTCAAATGCGCAACTTTTTATCTGTCCTTTCAACTACAGATTTCCAATTAGAACTGCAAGAGGGTGTGTGAAACGGTTTTCACCTTTCTGCAGTCACAGATGCGGCCCTAGAGTTCGATTCCCAGACCTCACTTTGCCTGTGTACAGTATTGAGTCGACACCCGCGTGTTTGAACCCGTGACCTGTGTTTTGGCAATTGTTTGTCGTCTGTCGTAGGTCTGTGTAGTGGTAGGGGTTCGATCTGTAGGTCTGTCAGTTAGGAGTCACAGCTTTGTAGAGGTCGTAGCTGTAGGTATTCTGAAAGGTCAAGGTCGTAGCTGCTACAGTTCTGAAAGGTCAAGGTCGTAGCTGCTACAGTATCTGAAAGGCCAAGTCCACAGACTTCCGGAAGGTCCGGAAGTGGCCTTTCAAAGTGTCTCACGTTTAGTCAGAGGCAAGTGGGCAAGTGGTGAGCCTTTAGTCATAGGCAAGTTGGCAAGTGGTGCGCCAACTGCATTACGTCGGCAGTGCGACTGCATCGAGTTGGCTGTGCAAACCCATGCAGTCAGCGGCACCAGTCCCAGTAAGTCAGAGTCCAGTCAAGCAAGTACCGTGTGGGACTGTGTGCACCAAGGGCCTGGGAAAGGGGCAGACCAACGAGTTACAGGAGTATAAATCAAGAGGCAGCGCCCAGCCATTCATTCATTCGCTGTGTAAGCCATGCGGAAGCGCTGCTACAGCGTCTTGTGCGAAGGTGGTCTGCAGGTTGCCCGAACTCGGAGTGGGCTGAAGAGAGAGTGTAGCCATAACCAGTAGTGTTAGTGCGGCCATAGCCGCTGTAGGAGGGAGATAGAATCTGAGTGTGTGTGTGTGGGTGTATTCAGGGTGATCCAGAGTCGAGGAGAGTTGAGGGCATGCAAACAGTGGTGTTGGATGAGGCGACGAGAGTTGGGATGTCCAGGCGCTGTTGCGCCATAGCCTATTGAAGTGAACTTGCATCTGAACTGTGTCCTTGTTGTCCATATCTCTGAGCTCTGAGTGGGCGCCCTGGACCAGAGTGAGTCGCCACCTGTTTGCATGTATGTGAAGTGGAAGTGAAAGCGAGTTTGATTGCATGTGCAATTTTTTGGTAGTAAAGGCCTGATTCTTTTGTTTGGTTTTTGATTCATAGTGTTTTGTCGTCATGTGTCTCGTGGCAGGGTCGTGCAGGACACTGTACTCAACAGTGGGAAATGCTTCGTGCTGAAATGGATCCGAGGTAAAAGGTTGGCTTCAACGTGGACCTTGCTTTTTTCTTTCACTAGCAAACCTGTAGTGCACTCTAGGACAATGCCCGGACGGTGCGGATGTTTTACCGATGCAGATGATGTGGAGGAAGACATGTTGGGGCAGCTCATGCAATCTCCAACGGCTCGGCGGGGTCAAAAAGGGCACAGTGGGGTAAAAAACACGATGGGAAATAGCAAACCGTTCAGCAGAATCAACACTAAAATGGCGGGGCAGGGTAAAAACACAATGGGAAATAACAAACTGTTCAACCCTAAAGCGGTGCAGCAGGGAAATAACAAATTGTTCAACCCTAAAACTGTGCGGCAGGCAGTGTTGCATACCCCGACAGTCGGTACACCTGTGACTGGTCGGCTGCCGACCAGCTGACCGGTCCGCGGGTCGGCACCCACAGGTCGGGGGTTGCACAAAAAAAAAAAAAAAAAAAAAGTTTTCTTTGGGTCCAGAACCCTCAATAACCCCACCAACACCCCCATACCTGCCCCCAATATTTCCATACACCCGCCCAGCACCCCCAAACCGCCC